CATTGATCTCTATACAAATTAATTTGAACTTTAGCAAGCTGTAGATGGATGGGTGCTAAAGGGGTTGAAGATCAAGTGAGCCGGCTTCGATCCAATCAAAAAGGAACTCGTCGACGCCCCATGATGATTATGGTGGTCACCGCCGTTGCTGATTTTTTCACAAGAAGGGCACATGGTGAGAGTGGCTGTTGGAAACTGCATGTAAAAGGGTGGTGGTGATGCTGCTGCTGTTGCCGTTTGTTTCATTAACTTGAGCTCTTGCAGCTCCTTGTGTAGCCTTCTGTTCTCTTCTTTCAGCGTCTCACAGCACTTTTTCAACAACTCACAATCCGCTTCAGTTTGCTTCAACTTGGTCCTATACATGTATATAGAACAAATTAGATTTGAGGCTATATATTTCTCATGCAAGCATCAAACATCTTGGAAATAATGAAGAATAAGATTTATCACGCCTACCTGGCCCTCCTGTTTTGGAACCAGACTTCCACTTGTCGCGGGCGTAGATTTAGCTTTCTTGCCAGGTCTTGCTTTTGCTTCTGATTTGTTCAAGAAAAAGAAAAAAGAACAAAAAGAAAACTCAAGCTTTAATAATTTGAAAAACAATGATTTTCCCCACAAATTATGGACAGATAAAGAAGTTAATATGGTGTAAAATATTTACGGGATTGAGGGTGGTGTGTTCTCTGAAGCTGTCTTCCAAAGTGGCAGATTGTTCTTTTGAAAGCCTGAGCTTCTTTCTGGGGCTGCCCTCATGATCTTGTTCATATAAGTCCTCGCTTGCTCTTGAGGAAGTGATATTCACCACTCTCTCTTCCTCTACCTCTACCTCTACCTCTACCTCTATCTCTTCACCTCCCAAATCTCTGTCCCTCTTGAAACTCGACGAGTTAGAAAACGATGAAACGGCGCCGCTGCAGGGAGAAGAGGCCTGTTCCTGTACAGTTACTACCTGGTGCAAATCAGTGGACTCGGCCTCCTCAATCTTTGAAGCGTCCGATGGGCCTAGCGTAAGAGAAGGCAATAGATGATCATATTTCAACTGTATTTGCTTGTTCTTGTACATGTTTTGGTGATGATGATGATGATGATGATCAGGAGGAGCCTGCAAATTTGTATGGTCATGATCTGGGCTGTCACTGCAGCCTAGGCTGAGACCAAGGCCAGTGTTACAAGCTTCATCAAAACTCATCTCTCTCTAGAAATTTTAAACTCAGCTAGCTCAATAAATTTATTTTTGGGGAGGGTTGGCTTGTGGGGCTGGGTTTATTTAAGCAAAGGGAAGTGAGTGAGAGGAGGAATATGGGGTTTTTGTGGAATTATAAGAATTCGATCGACCCCATGCCACTTTGTCCTCATAGGTTGACCAAATATATCAAAACAAATTCTCTACTTGTCTATCTTGTTGTCTTTCTGTGATGTCTCTATACAATTAATGTGTGCTGTATAGCGTATGAAGCTAATTAGTCTGTAATGTAAGCATGCGTGGAGCCACATGGAATGTGGGTGTACACAAGAACGCATAATAAAGAGAAGACAATGATGATTCGGCACTTTTCACACCTTTTCTTTCCACTTTTTCATCTACTCGATTTTCACTTTACATATTATTTATTTATACCACAACTATTTTATTCTACATATCTTAATATTACTCTTTTACAACCGGACAGGGTGCATGAGAGAGATGGAGACAGATTCTCCTGGTATGGTATGTATATACCTTCACATATTGTTACATTAGAATACATTTCAAGTAATATTTATGGACGACTATATCAACTATTGATGCACGTAAATTTCTATGATTTATAGTCTATATAAATTTAGTATGCAGTCTCTATGCAAATGGAGGAGAATCAAACTCGATTGTAAGAGGATGGACACACTCCCTTTTAGTATAAGGCTGCTGATGAAGACTGAGGTACAAAATTAGTTATTTAACTATTATTGGGGCATTTTAGTGTTTTCATTTTTAGTAAATAACTAGGTCTAATTATAAACTATTTAAATGTGAGATCAGACAAACAATAAATAAATAAATAAATAACAAATCCTATTCGTTGTGGTGAATTAAATGAAAGCAATCCAAGGGAGGAGACAACATTCATAAGAGTCTGATGAAGACCAATCCGTTGTGTTCCTGCATGTAGACATAGTCGCAGACCACCCAAATGCCTCAACCCTCTTACCATCTTTAGTTACTTATTTATTTATTTATAATCTTTTTCCTTTTTGATACAATCTTTAGTTTACTTTCACAAATTCTCAATTATCACCTTCCTATGGCTATCTAACTTTGTAGACTCAGAAATTTTAAGAGCATCTTTTGTGAAGATAAGCGATGAGAAATGATAGCATTTGTACGGTTAATCCACCGACGAATCTTATAAGTTCAATGCATCCTTTATGCCAGTCATAATTATCAAAATCTTTCTTACAGTTTTGATTAGACATCTAACCGTCAGAGACTGATGCATTTTTAAAATTTTTATTTGTGTGTGTTTGTTCACGAAATTAGTTATTCATGACATGGACATAACATACGGAATGAAAATTAGTTAGACTTAGATGGCATAAAGATTAGAGATAGGGTTATCGTTATCCTGGCTAAGCCTTCGTCGATAAGTTTTTAGTGCGATCGAGCAGATAGAGATATATTGACTTTGACACAGTGCCAATCAAATAACAATTCGGCCTAAAAGATGATTGGGAATAATTGGGTTAATTTATTATAATATAGAAAGAAAAAAATATTATTCCTTCATGCATCACTAACCTTAAATTCAATGCATAAGGAAAAAAGAGAGAGCTTACAATGAAAATAATACTAATTTTGCTCATCTTATTGAATATATACCGTGATTTGATTATAAGTGGTGAGCAAAATTGTTATCGTTTATGCTAGTTTCATTTCCGCTAGCGACCACGTGTCTATAAGAGAGGCTTCAAAGGGATGCTAACACGTGCAAAGGCGGCAATGGATAGGCAAGTGGAACCCACAAATGATTTTGCATGATGGGGCATTTGAATTGATTCTTAGGGGTGATAATTATTATTGTGGCCAAAGCCAGAAGACCTAAATAAGACTGTAGTGTATAAAGCATGCAATGATGGATCTGATGAGAGTATTGTGGTGTTGGAGATAAGGTTTCAGATGTGTTTCCGGGCTTTAAGGCCAGCCGACCACTGAGAATGTGGGATTGTGCTCAGTGTTTGGCTTTTCCACACCCCTCTCTTTCTTTCTTTCCCATACCCCAGAACCCTCTATGTCAAATTAGAACAAAGCCACCACTTTTGTCTCCATTTCTATACGTAGTCACAAGGCCACCTACACCTTTTTAATACAAAATCATTATATAACCTAAGGATATTTGTAACTCGAGTAGTTATTTTGCATTCGAGTTTCTGTGTTCGAAAAAAAATCAAGAATTAGCTAGGGTTATTCTATATTTGGATAAATATTACTGCATTTACACAAATGTGAAATCTTTGGCACTGTGTATTTTTGTTCTGCGGTAGGGGAATAAATTCGAAGAGGGGGTGGGATGGGACAACAAGAGTCTAGTCAGAGTAACATAAGCAAGTCATTGATTTCGAAGAAAATTGAGAGGAGCATCATCAGCAAGGCACCGACTTTTCCGAAAGCAAAGCCTTTTGCTTACCCCACTGGGATTGTATGCTTACTGTTTGTGTGAGACTAATTAAGTTTTCAGATTGGAGCATCTTATCATTTGGACCCAAAAATAGATATATAGGCCATGTCATCAGCGAACCCCCCACCTCACCTTCCTTGAATGCGACTTCTTCACTCTCAATCTTAGGGTGAGTTAGGCCAGTTGGGTCAAATTTAATCTATGGTTAATAATCTATTATATAAACAAATGTGAGTTAGGTCAGTTGGTTAAGGGAGTGTATCCGTCCCTTGTATCCGAGTTTAGTCACCCTCCCTTGCATCCAAATATCGCGTTGTAAAACAAAACCAGTTTACTATATACAATAAATTATTAGAACTAAATAACTAATTAAATCATGACAATTTGATTGAAAATGAAATGGGTTTCGTCGAAGATATCATCACCTTCTTTATGGGCACATGCTCGTGAATTATGGGCTCTTTTTTGTGAACTGGTGTGTGAAAAGGACCAGGGACCCCACGGAAATTTGGGTGTCAAGATTGGCTTAAATTTGGATTTTTGGCAGCATAACGAAACCCACAGGCCCACACTACATAGCAAGGACGTAAAACCATATATCATTTATGTAATGTTCAAATGTTGTATCATATTAAATATATAAGACTTGTCGTGTGCAATTTGAAGAAGATCTGAATCAACCAATACTCCAGTCCAAACCAGAAGCAGGCAATGTCATGTGCCCCCTTCGATCTTATCTTCATGACAAGATTTTGGAACTTCGACATGAAAATGGTAGAGGCACGATGGGTCTATATATGTTGGGCTTTTGGGCTTCAATGGCTTGGTCATTGTCAGCCTTGCGAGTAAGTGGTGACCTTTCTGACTTTTGACGCATATGGGTCTATATCTCATCAACGGTTAAAAATCTCCCACATGAGTGCGGACAAGGAAGGCCGGCCCTACCAAAATCCTGCAAAGATATGAAAGACACTTATAATGATAAGGAACTTTGTAAGGGGGGCTTTTACCTCAAGTAGTTAAGAGCATTTACCCATGCACTGGAGGTCCTAAATTCGATTCCTTCATCTTCAATATCGCTTGTATATATATTAAAAAAAATTATAATAATGAGAACGAACTTGGCGATTGTATTGAATTTAGGCACTAAAGGTATTTTGGACCAGATCAACTCGGCCCAAGCAAAACATATATGGGTTCAGGTCCAAAAATATCGCACTCTTGATTGGGCCCCTGGCCATTGTTAATTTGAATTTGAGGCCTGGCTAGCCCAGCCCAGACCAAATTGCTTGTATTTTAACGGGTGATTTGCGTGTCCCACGGGTATCTGGTACGTGCTGGACAAACCCACCAAGACAGAGGTGCCGACTGCCCAGTGGTCCATGCCGAGCGTTGTGATCAAGCCAAAGCCTCGTTGTCGTCCCGAAAAGCCAAATGAAATTTCCAAATTGCCCATCAAAACTTTCTGAAAAAGCTCTGCAATCTCTGCATGCGTAGGTGAGATGAGGTGACTCAGGTGAGAGACTGAGGAGAGAGATGGCTTCCAGCCTTGCAATATTTACTCTGCCGCGTTATCTCTGCTCCGCCACCAGCAATTACAACAAGGCATGCAATTTTTTGAAGCAATCTCATTTTCTCAATTTGTATTATAAAGTTTGCCTTTGCGTTGCATGTGTTAATGCAGCAGCAGCAGCTGCTTCGACTGTCGCCGTCTTCGCTGGGCCCAGCGGCTTTGCTCGCCGCCTCCTCCACCACAAGCCTCCGAGCCGTTTCTCCATCTCATCATGCCTCCTATGGGTACACATACCAGACCAACCACCTTTACTTAATTCAACTAATCCATATCTAACCTTAATTACATTTCCGCTTGTTTCTGCTAATCATATTCTTCTTCCTCTTGAAAAAGAACAGCCAAACGTCTGAATTGCCTGATACAACTTGGGATAACCTTGGATTCGACAAACCCATGTCAGCTGATTACATGTTTATCATGAAGAGTTCCGAAGATGGAAGCTTTTCAGATGGTGGGTTACAACGTTTTGGGAAAATCGAATTGAACCCAGCAGCCTGTGTCTTGAACTATGGCCAGGTTAGTCTTCTCGTTATATAATATGCCTTGCCCCCTTATTTTATTAGTACCCACAATTCAATTTCTGGGTCTGATTTGAAACTTGGCACTATAGCTACTTTGGTGTTTCAACTTGATACTGATACATTCATCTTCTTACATAAAAAATATTTGATTTCTGTACATTATTATTCAGTCTGCATAGTTTTAAGATTAGTTTAATTTGTACAAAGAAAAGTTCCTTTCTTTTTTATTCAGGGAATAATTGAAGAATTGAAAGCCTACAAGAAGCCAGACAATTCTATATTACTATTTCGCCCAGAGGAACATGGGTTGCGGATGAGAGTGGGTGCAGAGCGCCTGCTTATGCCGGCACCAACCGTTGAGCAGTTTGTGGAAGCTGTCAAAGTTACTGTATTGGAAAATAGACGTTGGGTAAAGTTACAACATGTTTCTTCCTAAGACAAGTCCTCCTTCTGTTGTATGTTTTAGTCATTCCACTCAGTGCCTCTCTACAGGTTCCCCCACCAAATAAAGGCTTTCTACATATTCGACCGCTACTTATTGGGAGCGGACCTGTTCTCAGTCTTACACCAGCTCCAGAATTCATCTTTCTGATTTTGGTGACCCCAATGGGGGACTATTCTAGGGTAAATTGTTTAATTTATGTTCAAACTAATCTATGTTTTGGAGTTGTAAATTGTAAGCTGTAACCTTTCCCCTTTTGAAAAGGATTTTATGTGGTAGGTACTCTAATTCAACTATAACACATTTTTCATTTCTATGATGGCGACAGGGAGGCTTAGAACCGATCAATTTGGTGGTTGAAAACGAAATCCATCTTGCAGTCCGTGGTGGAGCTGGAAGTGTAAAGGCCATAGGAAATTATGCTGCTGTAATTTCCACTTACCACTTATTCACATAGCGCTTAGTGGCTGTTTATCAATTGGTCTTCCTGTTGGCGCACTATGGTCATTTTGGCATTCTCACTGTTTAGTAATTCATAAAGAAGCTTCTGCTGATTGCTTGAAGCTGGCTACAACAAATCTTGCTTTATCCGGGCTCTTATCATTTTCTATGACAAGATGAATTCAGTGTGTTATTTTTCTTTTTTTCCGGATACAGAGGATTTGCTGTTTCATACAAAGCTATACTAGGAAATCTAACTAGGCTGAGATTATATATTGCTGTTTTGTTTAAGTTTCATTTCTGCGTTCAAAATATGGTCATATCATATATGCATTCAATGATCAAGGACTGATATGAAACCCTTGATTTCTTTTTATAGATTTTGAAAGCACATGTGGAAGCTAAAGCAAATGGTTTCTCTGATGTTTTGTTCCTCGATTCTGTTCACCAAAGATATGTTGAAGAGACTTCTACTGCTAACATTTTTCTCGTGAAGGTATGGTTGAAGCTCTGGCTTTGGTTATCAACAAATAAATGGTATGTGATTGTAGGCTATATATCATCTATTGAACCATAGGTCGGTTAATGTTTTTCATAAAAATGCAACTGATAGGATAAGATTATCTCCACTCCAACATTGGAAGAAGGGACAGTTTTGCCTGGCGTTACACGTAAATGTGTAATTGAAATTGCTCGCAGCCAAGGGTATCAGGTATGTATTTTAGGTAACTAAAAAGGTACATAGCTAGGTCTCTCCTGCAATCCTTTATTTTTTTTTGTAACTTTTTCTTCATCGCCAACTGAAAGAGTACATTATTTTTTTGCTTTTCCGTTGGTCATCCTTCTTGTTTCTTACTTCTGTGAGCAGTCATCAATCTGCAATTGGTGATGGGAAATAGGAATGATATTATTGATGGTGGGTACGGTTATGTGGGAGTAATAATAGGTAAGAGAAGAAACTTGTTCTCTTGTGATAATCAAAAGACAGAAAGTAGTGGGACTCTACTTTAGATATTGATGATGTTCCTTACTTCATACAAAATGAAGAGAAAATGGTGGCTTTATATAATAGCCACTGCCGACTAAACACATTAAAAACACAACTAAAACCAAACATAGTTAATTCAACTAACTTCTACCACACCATTATTTTAACCCACAACTACTAACAGCCAACTATTACTATTTTACTAGCCGACTATTAATGAAGTCTAGATTATTATAACAATTGGCTCAGCTGGAGCCACATGTTAATGTCTTGCTTGATAGGATAGATCATACTGTGTCTGTGTGTTTGTTATATAACCCAGCATATCATGTAGACATGTCTTCTTGCCAACTTCAAATTGTAGTTGGCACCGCCATTCTGATGGGTACTTTGAACTAATCATTTTCCCCCCCTTAGATGATAGGTTGTCATTTGAATTACTGTGATCAGTTAGCATAAATTCTATGATTGGTAACGTTTCTAGATTTTCAAATAGGTCTGATTACTCATTTAGGCCTTTGCATCCAATATATGACAGGTTGAGGAACGCCTTGTGTCGGTTGAGGAATTATTTGAAGCTGATGAAGTCTTCTGTACTGGAAATGCTGTCCATTTATCCCGTGTGGGCAGCATAACTTACCTGGGCAAAAGGTGAGTTTCTTATAATTTGGTTCCTTGATACGATGATGTCCATCCTTTGTTTATTACCTGTGGTCCTAACTTAGATGTCTTTAATTAGCTATTCCTAGAGCTAAGATTTCTCTGTTCTTGCAGGGTGTCTTACTGTGAATCTGAACCTGCTGTCGTGTCTCAGCAACTGCACCAGGAGCTGTCAAATATAGAAACGGGTCATACAGAAGACAAGTTGGGTTGGACAGTGATCATGAAGTAGGAAGGATTGATCACTGATGTTAAACAAAACTTCCAGTTGTGAGCATTGACAGCTCTGTAGAACGAATAAACATTGTTGTAGTCTAAACGTAAGCCAAATGCATATACGTCCAAGAAAGTTGGACCACAGTTTGAAGTCTATTTAGCCCTTTTCAACTTTCATTTGTGAAGAGTCAATTCAATCTCTAGATATCTTCCGATTACGATGAAGAAGAACGTCATCTTTGGACTAGTAGTTAGTCAAAAGAAGCAACGTATCATTTTCAATACTCTGTATTTTTGGCCTTTTGGACCACAGGGGCCGTATTTAGAAGACAGTACGGCATGCTAAGTTCTTGGATTTCTTATCAACTAATTAAATTGTATTCTTTTATTTTCGCCTGACCTGGCATCCTCAGCGTTGAAAACGCGTGGTCATATATAATTATCTGCTCCAATCTTCTTTTAGTAATTTTGAAGGTTATCAGACTCTCATATCCATCTCATTCCTATCGATAAGTAAGTGATGACTCAAACAATGACATTTTTGTATTTAATATATACATAAGGTCCCTCCAATATGAGATTGATGGCTACGTACTCTGTTTCCAGATCCCCACATACCAATTTGGCTCTTTGCACCCGTTTTTCTCTCACTTGCCACTCTATTATTGTGACCCATAACCCATCCTCCTCTCTGCACTTTCGACACTCTGCATTTATACCCATCTCTCTCTATCTCTGTCTCTGAGTCATCTCTTTTGCTTTCAATTCTCAAATTCTATCTCCTGAATATAGTCTAGGTTCATTTGCTGGGTTGGTTGTTTGAGAGGTCAAGGCAGAGATATATCAGCCATGATTCAAAGTACAACACGATTTCGTAAGTTGGTTCGATCCGTTGGAGTTGGTTCTTCATTATCTTCGTCAGCCAAGGTTAATTTTTCAATTTCCTCTGTTTTTCATTTTCCCCTGTTTTTTATTTCCTCTGTTTTTTTTCTTTTCATATCCCCTGTTTTACTTTACTGTATTACTATACTTTGGTAAGCTCCTTTCTGTACTCTTAGCTATCAAAGTTCATTGGTTCTATTTCTTTGAATACATTTGTCTATAAATGAAGTCATGTTGCATGCTGCGCTTGTTTTATGTTTGGCACAGTAATATTTTAGCCTTAATATTGTCTGCGAGCAAAATGAGCAGCATATATAATGTTCATGGTGAGGAGCCTTGTCTAGTTACACATTTTAAATTTCTTAATGCCTTTTCCTGAACCAGCTAACTTGTCGAAACCATTGTTTGAAAATTTAGACAAAATATTACCCTGAATTAAGGAGGAGAAACTGATCTCTCTCTTTTTTTCTTTTCATATTACCCTGAATTAATGCAGCTTAGAGTTCACCGTTGCTTTGGTTCTGTGGCTGCATCTAATGCGGAACAAGCATGTGAACAATCTGTAGAAAGGTAAAGGTACCTTCTGTGAAGGAAAAAAAACAGTCCTGCCCTGTAAAATCAAGAATGCTTCGAGATTTGGTTGGTAGCTTGAGATTTTGGTAAATTATTGTGATAATTTAATTATAAAGGCTTAAAATAATTCTGAGATATCATAAAGAAACTCTTTTCAGCAGTTTGTTGGCAGCATTATTATCTAGCAAATAAAAAAGTTGAAAATTATTATTTTAATATTTACAGTTATGGGGATATGTCTTTCAGCTCTGCTGGTGTGCCTCTTTATGTTTTCTGCATTATTTGTACAGCTATAATGTTAAAAAGAATGAGTATGCTGATTTGGATTGGGATAATCTTGGGTTTGGTTTAACGCCAACTGATTACATGTACGTTATGAAATGCTCCAACAATGGCACATTTGAACAAGGCCAACTTAATCGTTATGGAAACATTGAACTCAACCCTGCTGCTGGAGTACTAAATTATGGACAGGTAAGCAAATCTCCTCCACTCTTTCATCTTACAAACTTCATAGTTGGATTTTGTTTTGACCCCAAAAGAAATTCATGGTTGGGATTAAAATGTAAACAGGGTTTGTATGAAGGCACAAAAGCATACAGGAAGAAAGATGGAAATCTCATTCTCTTTCGTCCAGACCAGAATGCAATGCGGATGCAGTTTGGTGCAGAAAGAATGTGCATGCCCTCACCGTCCGTCGATCAATTTATTGATGCTGTGAAGCAAACAGTTCAAGCCAACAAGTGTTGGGTAATCCTTGTTTTTATTTTTGCATTGAAACTTAATTCATTTGTGGACAAATTTATTTACAAGTTTACGAATGTGTGCCGTGACAAAAAAACAGGTTCCTCCACCAGGGAAAGGGTCTTTGTATATTAGGCCTCTACTTATAGGAAGTGGTCCTATATTGGGTTTGGCTCCATCTCCTGAGTATACATTCCTTGTATATGCTTCCCCTGTGAGGAACTATTTCAAGGTTAGCAATTCTTTTACAATACTCAAGCTTATTTGATCAGCTTTCAAATTTAGGAAGATATATATGCTTTCTGTTCTTTTAATAGGAGGGCTCTGCACCCTTGAATATATACGTTGAGGCGGAGTATGATCGTGCCTCTCGTGGGGGAGCTGGAGGTGTCAAAAGCATTACCAATTATGCTCCAGTAAGCAAAATAATTCATATGCTCAGTTATTTTGAGTAAAGGGGTTTTGCTAAGACTTGTGTAAAATTCAAGTTTCATGGAAATAAGTGTGACTTCCTGTCATAATTTGTACTTCATATGTAGGTTTTGAAGGCACTACTCAGAGCTAAAAACAGAGGATTTTCGGATGTTCTGTATCTTGACTCGGTAAATAAAAAAAATCTGGAGGAGGTCTCTTCTTGCAACATTTTCATTGTGAAGGTATTGTTTTAGCTCTTTGTACTGTACTAGGCACCTCGTTTTGTTTACATTTTCATTGTAAGGCTTCCCATGAAGCTTTTGTAACCTGATGAAGTTCTCATTCTTTCTGTACAATACTAAGACTTATTCTAAATCTTCAGTTTTGTACTCAGAATTGGCTTAGCATGGGTCGCTCATGCATGTAATTTCCATGTTTTAGGGCAACCTTATTTCAACTCCGGCTGCATTCGGGACGATTCTTCCCGGAGTTACTCGAAGAAGCATTATTGAAATTGCTCGTGATCTTTGTTACCAGGTGATCTTCTATGTCAGTAAAACCATGCCATTTCTCATTACAAGAAGAGAAAAGGAAAAAAATTAGTAAACTAAAAAACTTATCCCTTATGATCTGATTCTAACACCGTACCCCTATGTGTTAGGTTGAGGAACGTCCTATTCCGGTGGATGAATTGAGTGAAGCTGATGAAGTGTTCTGCACAGGAACTGCTGTTGGTGTTGCTCCTGTGGGCAGCATTACTTGTCAGGGCAAAAGGTGCTATTATAGGATCATCCAGATTATCATTTTTTAAAAAGAACAAAAAAATATCAAATTTACTTTTTGAAAAGAAATAAGATTGGCAATTTGGCACATGCAGCTCTACAAAATTGTGCGACTCTTATGGCAAAGTTCATGTAGGAATATTTCTAACTCGCTTTAGCTCATGCAATTGGCTCATATGCAGGATGGAGTACAAAACGGGTGCTCAGACTGTGTGCGCACAACTTTACTCAACCCTCGTAGGAATTCAAACGGGTCATATTGAGGATAAGAAAGGCTGGATTGTTGAAATTGAATGATATCCCATTTCAGATTTTACAGTGGAATAAGATGTACAAAATTATAATCACCCACATGTGCAGACCGTCTCGGACGACAGAACTACTGTGTGCCATTTTTTTATCAGTTATTCAAATCTACAACTTGCACCTAGTGTTAAATCTATCTTTGATTATTCATTAAACAAAAGCCATAATCAATATCAAAATTTGATCTGGATAGAAATTACTCAATTAGTATATTACAACTCCTAATCTTTGACAAATATCATGTCTAGAAAAATATGAATTGGCGCCCGTGAAAATAAAACCACATTGTACTTGAACCTCGGAGGCTTTTTTTTTGGTGAAAACCAAGGTATCCCCCGCGCGATTGCGGGGACTAACCCTCGAGGTACTGTCGGGCGCAAAGTGGGGACCTCTCCCAACAAAGTCTGCTCTATTCGCAAGCGCCTGGGATCGAACCCAGGACCTCTTGTTTAAAGGATCCAAGCCCCTTCCACTTGGACCAACTCCTGTTGGTTCCTCGGAGGCTTTTGGGTTAAGTTTAAATGGTGTGGAAGAGTGAGGTAACGAGTTAGAATTAAGATAAACAAAAAATTTGATTCTCTCCAATATAACCAAGAAAAGAGAGCTACATTGCTAATTTGAACACTTTGATTAACGTATGATTTATCTACCAAAACTAGAAATAGTTACAAATTAAAGTTGAGCTTTAAGAGCAATTCCACTAGTTGCCCTTAGCCATGGCAAGGGGGAGGGCTAGGGCAGCCACTATTCACATGAATAGTGCCTGCCCTTGCAAAAAGCAATGTTGGTTTCCAGCAGTTGCCCTAGTTTAGGGCAAATACTATTCATTTTTTTTTTTTTTTTACATATTTGTTTACCTAAACAATTAATTTGGACAAATTTTTTTTTAAAGATTTTTGGTGTGGGAAGTGAAAAATATGACTAAGTATTTATTTAAAAAAAATATGAATTTTTTTGTTTTTTTTTTCGATTTTTTTAAATTTTTTAAATTTTTTGTTGTTATTGACATCATCGCTGACATCAGCACCCCTCGTTTTGGATCTAGGATGCCCTAGTTTAGGGCAAATACTATTCATTTTTTTGTTTTTTTTACATATTTGTTTACCTAAACAATTAATTTGGACAAAATTTTTTTAAAAGATTTTTGGTGTGGGAAGTGAAAAATATGACTAAGTATTTATTTAAAAACAATATGAATTTTTTTGTTTTTTTTTTCAATTTTTTAAAATTTTTAAAATTTTTTGTTGTTACTGACATCATCGCTGACATCAGCACCCCTCGTTTTGGATCTAGGGTTGAACCTGCCCTCGGGCCAGCCCGACTTCGTGGCCCCCACAACCAACTCGGGCCAAACCTTGCTGCTGGAGGCCCTTTTTCTCCCAAACCCCCCTAGCCTCAGTCCAAACCCCGCTGCTGGACTTGCTCTTAGTATAAGCTTTCTGTTGATTCTTAAATGTATCACATCTTTGGGGTTGAGTCAAACCATGTCTCTACCATGCCCTGAACTGAAGTGGTTGAAAATACAAGACTTCTAGACCCAACTGTTTTCTTATGGCCATTCATTAATTTATTCTTTGCTGACTGGTAGTAGTAGGAGAAAAACAAAACCAAAATGCATAAATTCCTTGGAGAAGAAGGGTAACCAGACTACTGTTTCCATGACCAACTAGAAGAGTGCTTTTAAAAAAAGGCGTCAAAAGCTCAGTTGGGATCTTTATCAATGAGGACACGAAGTTAAAAAACGAGAACTTGATAGTCATGTCAAACGTCTTTCATGCAGATACAGAAACATCATTGCATGATCTTCCCTCTCTTAATTAACCTGCCACCACTTTCTCCCAGGCAACCCCAGCCATGCAACAACCCATATTGAAGCTTTTTTGTTTTGTCTAAATGAAGTTGAAGACTTTTTTCTAATTTGAGCAGTTGTCATCTTAATCTCTCTGAGAACTCTCCAAAGCAAGCTGCCTCATTGTTCTGCCGGAGCTCCAAAAGACCAAAAGTTTGAGATTTCTGAGCAGGTGTTTCTCTCTGTCTTCCTTCTTATGAGTGACTATTCTCACGTTTTACTATATTTTTCTCATTTTTTGTTTGTAATTGTTAGCTGGTTTGTCTGGTACGCCAGTGCAGAGCAACCATGGCGGCGAGCCATACAAATGAAGAGTTGCGTTCTGCTAAACTTCACATAGAAGAGATAAGGACTAAAAAGTTCTCTATTGGGAAGAAAGAACCAAACCCCTTAACCCTCGATCTTCACCATGCGGTCACCAGTTTATCTGCGGAACTGTACCAGAAAGACATCCATTTCCTGATGGAGCTCATACAGGTCTTTTGCTTCTTTTTCTTTTTCTTTTGTTAAAGAAAGTTTTAATTTTTTCCTTTCTGGTCAAAACTTCAATGAACTTTATAGACAATGTTAGGCTTCTGTTTTTATTTTTCGTGACCTTTTTCTTTGTGGGTTTTTACTTGAAGAACGCAGAAGACAATGAATACAAAAAAGGGGTAGAACCAACGCTGGAATTTGTGCTGACCAAGAAAGACATAACTGGGACTGGAGCACCAGCTACTCTGCTTGTTTTTAATAATGAGCTTGGCTTTTCCAGGAAGAATATTGATTCAATCTGCTGCATAGGCCGTTCTACAAAGAAGGGAAAGAGGCAGCAGGGTTTTATTGGAGAAAAAGGTAAACTAATAGCAAACCCTATTTCATTTTAAAACGCTTATATTACTTTTAACTTTAAGTAGAGATTCCTTATGATGAAATTATTGCAAGGAGAAAAACAAAGTATGTATTTCATGCATTTCACATCTTGATCTAGAAAAATGAACAGGAATGAAGGAATCTCCTTATTGACTTCTGCCTCTGTGAATTAGGAATTTTTTGAAGTCTAGATTTTCTACTATGTTGTTGCCTTCAGATGCGCACTTGCAGCATGTCTTGAATTCATAATAAATGTTCCCATTGTAATCAGAGCTGGCTAAATTCTTTTGAAAAAAAAAAGCTAACATTTTGAGTTGCATGCATACCTTCCTTATTAGTTGGAGTAAACAATAGGTGCCTTCTGAACAATGGTTATCAAGTTGAACTCATAATACCAATATTTCCTTGCAGGAATTGGATTTAAAAGTGTGTTTCTTGTAAGTTCACAGCCTCATATATTTAGCAACGGATATCGGGTCAGATTTATGGAAGAACCAAACCAAGATTGTGGTATTGGCTATGTAGTTCCTGAATGGGTTAGTGGAAAACCTTATTTATCAAGCATATGTGATGTATATGGTGTCAACAAGATCTTGCCAACAACTACGTTTATTCTTCCCCTGAAGCCTGACAAGGTGGAGGCTGTTAGAGCACAGCTGTCAGAGCTTCACCCAGAGATTCTCCTGTTCTTATCCAAGGTAAAGCGGTTATATGTACGTGGGTGTGATCCTGAAGAAGCTGATGACATCTCTACAATTTCTATATTTAGTGAGACTGAACATATGGATTTGAGCGATGAAAGAGCCAATTCTCGTGTTGTGCAACTTTCAGTTAAAGAGAAAAAGTGTGATACTGAGTTGTGCAAGTATTACTTGTGGAGAGAGGCATTTCCAGTAAAACCTGGGAATCAAGTTAGTATAAGGATGGATGTGGAGAAATGGTTGATTACTCTTGCTTTCCCGTTTGGAGAAAGACTGAGAAGGGGAACGTCTTCTGTTGGTATATTTGCTTTCCTTCCTACAGCAATGGTCACAAACTTCCCCTTTGTAATTCAAGCTGATTTCATCCTTGCTTCTTCACGAGAATCTATACTGTTGGACAATGTATGGAATTTGGGAATTCTTGATTGTGTCCCATCAGCCTTTGTAAATGCTTTCCAGTCTTGTGTGAGAGAACTTCAACTATTTCCTTCCGTGGATCAGACATTTCAGTTTTTACCTGCTCAAGATTCAGCAATTCCTGTGTTCAACAACTTAAGAGAGTCCATAAAAACTAGTTTGCGATGTTTACAGATAGTGCCTTCTGAAATGTTTTCTGGTAAGAGTTGTTTATTCCTGACGCCTAAACAAGCAGTTCGGGTCTTGCCAAAATTCAGGGACCTAGTCCTTCAAATGGAAAGTGAAGGGGCTATTTCAAGCAATTTATCTTCATTGAAGAAGGTCTTGCATTCATCTCTGGACCTCGAAAAATACAGTGCAGTTCTGGACTTTCTGGATGTGGCAGCTGCTAGTGGTCATTGGTACACAAAATGCATCAAATCCTGCAATATTGTGTTGTTATCTGATGAGGTATATGTTGAACTACTTGGTTTTATTGTTGATAATGAGAAAAGGTTTGCAAAAGGTATTAAGACCATACCTCTTATTAAATACATCAATAGCGAAGGAAACTTGGAATTATGTACAATTGCTGAAACCACAACAGGGATTCCAGGGACACTGAAGGTTCGATATGCTATGGAGCTGGAGCTTCACACTTGGCTGAGCAAGTGCAATATGGAGTTTGGATGTCCTGGTGTGTATTTCATTCCCAATAGCACACAGAAAGCTCTTTTAAAGAACAAACGAATTTGCAGAAGGAATTGGCCTGTCAGGAATTGGCTTAGCCAAGCAAGAGTGTCTTCTTGTTCAGCACACGATTACGCTTCATTGCTTCAGAATCATGTATCAGGTGAGGAACCAAATCTTGCAGTTACATTGTCCAATTTCCTTTATCACACCCACAGGAAAGGCTTCCTTGATGATAATAGCATATCTGATATTTGTCAAAGGATCCCAATTATTGATGGGGCTGACCATGTTAGAATGCAAAGAACCGTTACTCTTGTCCCTGCATTAGATAGCAAATGGATGAAGTTGTTTGGACCTCAAAACCCATTTGTGGAACAAAATTACGTTGATTTAGGGTATGTTTATTCTAAAAGTAGTCTGTTTCTGGGAGAATCTACGCCTGAGAAGGAGCTTCTTCATTTTATTAGCAAGCATAGTAAAGCTGTGGACTTACCGGAGTTGTGTCCTCCAGATGTGGTACTACAGATAGCATCTCATGAACTGTCAAGTGAGCAGGCCTTTTTGCTACTCGATTGGATCAGATTACTTCAGAATAAAGGTTCACCTTTACCTTTGATTTTCATTGAAAGCATTCGAGATGGAAAGTGGATGAAGACATATTCAGGTTATGTTTCTCCAAGAAAGGCCATTCTTCCAGATGAAACAGGGAAAGCTATTATTGATATGATGAAGGATGTTCTGAAGGATGTCCCCATTTTAGACCTGGAATTTTATATGAACCGAATCAATCTTTATCAAGATGAATTGAAATTTCTGGGTGTGGGACTTGGATCAGATGATGTGCGGAGGCTGGTTACTAATTGGTTAAATTTCCTTGCTTCTCCTGGAATGAACAAACTGTGCACGTTTGCTTTGCTGACTTTCATTAATTTTTGTAGAGGAAGAAATATGATTGATGAGGACTGGTTGGATGTTGTGAAGGATAAGAAGTGGGTGAAGACTCATCAGGGTTATAATGCTCCCAAGGGATCTATTCTTTTGCCATCTGAGATAGAAGCTGAAACCTGTTTAAAAATTACAAATCTTCCTATTGTTGATCAAGCATTCTATGGAAGCGGATTAGGTTCTTTCTTATCAGAATTAAGGCTACTTGGAGTTGCATATGGTCTGGAGGAGGTGCAAAAATCAATTGCAGAGAATATGACTTTAACTTCAAATCTGTCTTCCCTGACTGGTAGTTGTGGTTTGTTGATTCTTAAATGTATCAGATGCTTGGGATCTGGAGCTGCTGGCTTGATTATAAAGATTAAATGTAAACCTTGGATAAAGACAACTTTGGGTTTTAAAACCCCTTCAGAAACTGTTCTTCCTGATCCAAGATGGGGTGCTTTGTTCACTGCTCTTCAGGTCCCTGCCATAGAGGAATCGTATTATGGGAATGCAATTAGGCATTTCACTGATGAGTTGAATGCTATTGGAGTGGTGGTTGATTCTACCGGAGCAACTAAGATGATACGTGCTCGGTTTAATTCCCTACTGTCTTCTTCTAGCTTAGCTCCTGCCACAACGATGTTGTTGTTAGGTTGCATCAGAGAGCTGAGTCAAAATATGTCTTTACAGTGCTCTGAACTGAAGTGGTTGTTGTGTGAGAAGTGGTTGAAAACACGTCATGGTTATAAGACACCTGGTGAATCAATTATTTCCGGCTCTAATTGGGGATCGATCTCATTTGTTGTTGATCTTCCTCTCGTAGATGACGCACACTATGGTATTGGCATATATAAGTTCAAGGATGAACTCCAGATGTTGGGTGTCATCATGGATTTTGAACGAGGAGCTCCATTTGTTGCTAAAGGTCTCCACAACCCAATTCAACCTGAACTACTTGCTGCAGATGGTATGATATCATTGTTGGAGTGCATCAAGCATTTAAGGTCCAGGTCTGATGATGAGCCTTTACTGGGTGACTTACGCCAGAATGTTGCAGAAAGCAGGTGTTTGAAGACCATGAAGGGTTACAAAATTCCACAAGAATGTGTGCTCTTTGATCCAGCATGGGAAAGTATTCTTAAGAGGTCAGATGCTCCAAGCATTGATGAATTTTTTTATGGAACTAGCATTTTTTTGTACAAGAATCAGTTGAGAGATATTGGTGTGAAGGTAGACCCATTGGATGTTTGTTCTCTTCTTTCTGGGCTTCTTTTGTCACTATCAGACAGGGGTGTAATTACAAGGATTTATGGCTTCCTGAACAAGTTCCAATGGAGTCCGAAAGATCAAGATAAATGCAACTTTAAGGTGTGGATACCTGGCTCAAAGGGTAGTACAGGTGCATGGGTTAATTCTCAGGATTGTGTACTTCATGATTGGAAAAATCTGTTTAGCTCCCGTTTTTTCTGTCTTGAGAAGTTTTACAAGAAAGGGCTCCTTCCCTTTCTTTCTTCAGCCTTTGGAGTTGCAGAAAATCCTTCCATCAACGATTACTTGTGGCTATGGAACTCATGGGCTTTGAGGGAAAACGGTCAAGTAACTGTTGCAGAGTGCTGCTCCTTTTGGGAGTTTGTTGTAGACAACTGGAATCAACAGGTAGAAGATACTGTGAAGCGGAACTTGACCAAATTACCTGCCACAATGGACACGGTTGATGAAATATATCTGGTGAGCAGAGAGGAAGTATTTATTGCTAATGACTTGCAACTGAAAAAGATTTTCTCCAGCTCTAATAAGGTTCCTCTGTTTGTGTGGATTCCCAAGAGTATAAGCGAGTGTTCTATTACTCCAAGAAGACTACATGCAATTTATGAAATACTCGGAGTTAGAAAGATGTCTGAGTCAGTTGAGTGCAATGTGAGTGGCATGCTATCATTAGAGCATTGTGAAAAGGTTGATCCAAGAGAGAGATTAATTGGGAGGGGTTTAATAAAAATTATTCTGGGTTTTCTAGCTGGTCCTGAGGTAAATATGCCAGTGAAAGAGAGACACGAGGTCGCTAGATTGATAGTTGTACTGTCTGTGTACAAGAGTGACAAACCAATTAAAGTCTGCTATCAACTAAAGCCATCTGCAAGTACAACAGTTGAAGTGGAAAAATTAGAGCTGGTTCTTTGGGTGAAGAATTCTCCGCATTTGCTCATTGATGAATTAGGCTATGAGTATGGGAAAGATGATCTGGAATTTGTTGCTTCTTTTGCTGATGAGCTCTCACGAGGACTGTTAGCACAGGTGAGGCCTACTGCAGCAGATGCTCTGAGCAAGATTATCCAAATGGGGTATATGTTCAATTTTAATGAGAATGAAGTGGAGTTTTTGCTGATGAAAGAAAATTTGGAGTTACTTGTGGAGGATGTTAAGTTTCTGGATTCTGCATTCCTCTCATCAAGAGAAACTACTGTAACTGCTGTGTATCGAAAGCGTGCACATAAAAAGTTAGAGCAATTAGGCCCTTCCACACCAATGCCTGCATGCAAGAAGCAGCGTCGGTGATAAAGGGGTGTTGATCCTGTGGCTCTTTTTTCTTTGGTTCATGGCTTGAATTATCAGAACCATAAAGTTTTATTTTGAATGTATTTTGGTACAATCCTTGTGTATATACGGGGGTCTGATGTCTGGCATGTAAATCTTTAGAATGTTGATCCTCTCCTTGGCTAGTTTACTTATGTTTGGGTTTTAATCCAAGGATATGGTTATGCTTGTCAGGGCTAATGGATGAACTGTGAGACGCCTTTTGTATTGTTATTACTTATATGAATATATCCGGGCATGAGCCTATATATCTCATGGCCAAGGATATGGTTATCCTTGTTTGTTTGTTTGGAACGCTTTCTCTACCCCTCTGCATGTTGAGTACGCAGTTGCAGTGCAGAGAAACCATGGCAACACCTACAGAACAAGCCTTACGTGCTGTGCTGCTAAACTTCACATAGAAGAGATTCAAACCCTTCACCATGCGGTCACCAGTCTCTCTGCCAAACCAGCAGGCAGCAGCATATATAGCCATACGTGCATTAATTAAAGGTAATCTAATCGGCCTGTGCAAATGAATATATCTCCACCAGTTACACCATTTTGGCCTAGAAAAGGTTTGTGGAAGTAGAACTCTCCCACCTCATCGAGCATATGCAATCAAAGTTTTGCCTATGTTTTTCTTTTTTCCAGCTATTGGGGTAGAGTGAATAGAATGAACTTCGTAAAAATAACACTAAATTCCTATTTTTTTTTATAAGGGTAACTCCACCCTTGCCTACAACTTTTCTTCACGTGCTAGTCACGTGACCAATTTCGCTAGAACCATACAGTTAACAACAATCATAGACATAGGGCTAAACCCATGAAATACAATATACATCTTAACTAATCAAACATGTAATGGTGTAAAAGGGGCTGACAACTTTGAATGTTGGTTTGCATTTGACAAAACAAAAATGAGAAAGAAATATAATTGAGTTGCGTGGAGATACAGCTAATTGACTTGGTGCATATGCGTTGTGTGCCATCAAATTAAAATATGCATTACTTTACAAGTTATGGTCAAAAACAGAGAAAGTAAATCACAAAGTATGCAGGTCCATTCAAGATTGGAAATATATGGATCGATCCATCAGAGGCATCACACAATCTTCATATCTATTATATTATTGCTCTGTTCATACTTTATTCATGGAAGCCTTAGCGTTTCTACTTTTGTTTCTTTAGTATTTTGTATTGTGTTGCAAATTTCAAACTCTTTGCATTTTAAATGCATTCAGTAATTAAATTATTTTTCTCGTCTCTCACAATTATTCCTCTTGTGCTACCTTAATTGAAGTG